TATACTACTACAAAATTTTATATATATATATATATATATATATATATATACAATAAATAACATTTACCTATAAACAGAAACATATACGCCAAGACTTGTATCTTCTTTAAGCTTCCTCGCCTTTTTTTCGCGACGTTGATCAGCAGTAAGTCTCCGGGCTGCATTTGCATCCTCATGAGCTTTCAATCTTTTAGCCATTTGTTGTCGAACATGAGCTTCAATTTTAGTAGGATCTTGTACAGCTTCAGTCCCTAAAACTCGCATGAGATTCGATATCCGTAATTTTGGCTCAGGTGGTGCTTCTAGACCTAATCGAATTTTTTCTTGCTCTTCCTTCCAAGTTTCTCGTCTATTTTGTCTTCTTAATTTCTTACGTTCTTTTTTTGTGAGAAATACAGGCATATAGATTGGTTTCAAAGGATCCGCTGTATACAAAATAATCACAGAAAACAATATAAATATATTCAATTTTATAAATACACAAAACACACACACACACACACACACACACGCGCGCGCGCGCGCGCACGCACACGCACACGATTAACGCTATTCTTGATTAAAAATTGAATTGAAAAGTCCTCTACCATTTTGCAATTTTTGCAATGATCGATGAAACATTAATTCTAAAGATTGTCGAATAAGCGATTGTCGAAACACATGATGTTTCTTAAATAGCGGACACTAATCATATAGCGCTATTCCTGATAGAAAAAACTGAATAAAAAAATCTCTATCATTTTGCAATTTTCGTGATAGTTAATGGTTGGGCAGTCGGATACGCGCTTATTCGGCAATATTTAGAAATTAATATTTCATCAACCATTGCGAAAATTATAAAGGACTTTTCGACTTAATTTTTAATTAGGAATAACTCTATATGATTAGTGTCTGCTATTTAAGAAACACTCTGTATATCAAAGACATACACATAAATAAATAAATAAATAAATAAATAAATAAATAAATAAATATATATATATATAAAATACATACTTGGAGGCCGCATTTGTGTTGGATGTTCTACTAAATTAGTGATAGTCAAATTTTTGATTGTCGTTAACTCATTTTCATTAGGATATCCACCAGTTAATATAACAGAATCCCACCATTCTATATTAGGCACATCTTCACTAAGAGCTTCAGTTTTGGGTGCGATAAGAGCTAATTTAGTCGCTGAACTAATTCCAGTTTTTCTAGCAATTTGACTAATTTCATTTTGCAATTTCTCTAACTGTGTCTTCATGCGCATTCTTTCTGCTAATTGTTGGAATTTTCCTGGTTCGTGAAATTTTAATGCACGTTTACCACGCATAGCTGGTTTTACACCTATTCTGTTATCGAAAAAATGAGTATCTTGTATTTCTTCTGGACCTTTTGATTCTTGTAGTTGAGCTTTGAATTCTTCTCTTTTTTTTGCACGTATATTAGCTTTTAATGTAGGTACTACTTGAGTGAGTTGTACTTCTTTGCCTGTTATATCTACTGTTCTGCCAGATTCATCCAAAATTAAGGGAGTTGGTTTGTCTGGTACATTAACATTGCCAAGTAATCCTGAGTTTAATTTATTTCTGATCTGTGCTTGTAATGCAGCTATTTTTCGTGCTTTGTCTGAATCTGTTTTACTCAATAGGCCTTGATTATACATGCTTCCTACTGTTGGTAGTGTATCACGCCCTTTAAAGGGCTTTGCAGAAACATCTTCCTGCTTTATCGCCTTTAAAGCTCTTTTTCGTTCTTCTATTTCTTTTTGTGCATTAGCCATCATTTGTCGTATCTAAAGATATAAAGAATTAAGCTTATAATATATACTGAAGTATTTAAAGCATTAAGATTTATATATATATAT